CCCTTCTCTCTTTGCTTCCCCCCCGCCCGCCTTGGCAGGCCGGCTGGGGAAGAAAAAAAAGGGAGCAAGCGAAGAGAACGTGACTAAGTTAAGGTCTGCCTGGCAAGCGAGCAGAGATTTCCGCAGAATCACACACGTGCTGGGCGGCCACTGTGCACCAGGGATCTCCTTAGCTGCCTCTGTTTGGGGTCCTTCATCGGTCACTTTCGCACATGGGTGCTGCTGTGCCACTGGAGCGCTGCCTGGGGCTGGCAAACTCATAGTTCAGGCCTTGTTTCTGGGATCCCACTGCGCCAGGTCGGCTTTCACTTTTGAAGTTCCGTCTGAGGCGAGCCATGGCTGGCAAGGAAGAGCTGCTGATCATGAGCTCCTCAGAGGGAGTACGCCAGGCCAGCTTTCACTTTCGGAGTTCTGTCTGAGGCGAGCCATGGCTGCCGAGGAAGAGCTGCTGATCAACGTGAACTCCTCACTTCCTCCCGCCTCCGCGGGTCGAAGGAACTCCTCAGAGGCTCAGCAGGTCAAGGGAAAGCAGGTATCTTTCTTGCAGATAAGAGGGAGATAGTGTGTGTGGGGGTGTTGGTGACTGGGATGTTTATAAGGTTGCCAACCTCCAGGTTAGGTAGCTGGAGATATCCTGTTATTACATCTAATCTCCAGACAACAGAGATCAGTTCACCTGGAGAAAATGGCTGCTTTGGAAGTTGGACTGTATGACATTATGTCCCAAACACTGCACTCCTGAGGCTCCACTCCTAAAATCTCCAGGTATTTCCCAGACAGGAGCTGGCAAACCTAGGTGTTTATGGATCAGGAACCAGCGCAGCTTGGCTTTGGAGGGCAAACTTGAGTTCCTTTTGGATTCTTTGTGCAAGAAGTTTTGGAAATCAGAGCATGCGTTTTGTCCTGATTTGGGAAAGTTGAAGGGGGTGATGGCAGCAGAGAAAGGTAGGTTGGCTGGTGGGTGGGAAGTATAGAAGGAAGCAAGAAAAGGGAGAGGTTATGGGAGCTTTCAAGGGAGGAAAAGAGGAAATAGCAGGGGAAGGATAAATAAGATGCCCCCCAAAAGTCCTTGCATATCCCCCCACTTGTTTATTCCAATAGTGAACTTAGTGGTCCCAAGCCAATCAGCAGGGCAGTGAAATGGTCATGGACAACATACTTGGAAGACTCCCCCTGGAGTATGTAAATTTAAAGAATGCAAAACAGATTTCCAGATGAGGACTGCAAATGCTCACTGTGCTCCAGAATGCATAGAACTCTGACAGCAACTAAGTATCATTAGAAGAAGAAAAATAAAAATGGGGGGAATTGGCTTGCCCTTAAAAGCTTATTTCACACTGGAGGAGGAAACTAGGGCTGGGGGATGCTCACCATTATGCATGCATCTTCCAGCCCTAATTTTATCCTCACTCCTCTGTCCAGGCACCTATAAGCTTTTACCGGCTCTCGCTACTATGAGGATTAAGAAGTCTTCTGGTGTAATTAACTAGCATCACAGAACAAGCAATTCCTCTGATACTAATAAAGTAATTCACCCTTCCTACAGGAATCTGAGCTTCTAACAACTTATAACTGGAATGTATGTGTGAATAGTGCCAGGATTGGGTAACCCTAATCCCTCTTCCCTAAAATAACATTTTCCCCTTACCTTTCTTTCTGTTAGGTAAGGAGAAGGGGAAAAAAACCCTCTTCCTGTGCTGTACCACTCAGTTTCAGGGCGAATGAGCAGTTTTCTCCAGATGTTGGGAACAGGAATCTGAGCTTCTAACAACTTATAATTGGAATGTATGTGTGAATAGTGCCAGGATCGGCTAACCCTAATCCCCCTTCCCTAAAATAACATTTTCCCTTTACCTTTCTTTGTTAGGTAAGGAGAAGGGAAAAAACCCCTCTTCCTGTGCTGTACCACTCAGTACAGCGAATGAGCAGTTTTTTCCAGATGTTAGAGACAGTTTTATAGATTTTTATTATAAACATGATGCTGAGAACAACATAACATCATGGGGTTTGGGGTATATTCCCCATCAAAATATCTTTGATAACTAAAACATAACTCAGTGCAATTTTCCATTATGTGTATTAATTTGATCAGGCTAAGGTTTCAGGTTTAGTTGATTTACAGATCAATATCTCCTTTCCCTCCCTAAACTAGAATAAATTCAAGCCTTTTGTTATAAGAATGCAGCAAAACTCTTTCTGCTCCCTGTTGCATTGCATATTCTGCTATCAGAACTTGATCGGTGACTGATTCTGGCCACATCTCAGCAAAACTTAAGTCACAACTAGATTTGGATTGATTAGGCTCAGTGGGATTTAGCTAAGACATTCTGTTGCCAGATCCCCTATAAAACTTTTATAGCCTACATAGCCAACTAAGCAACCATGGTGATTTGGAGACTTAAAGGTACAAATGCAAAGAGCCACCATAGGCCTCCAGACAAAGATGGCCTTTGGGTCCACCTTGGGCCACAAAGATCCAACCCAAACATCATACGAAATACAAGAACTCATTGCTGAACAGTTGGGTTAGAACAGATAAAAGGAAGTACTTCTTCACCAAAATTAACTCATGGAATTCACTGCCATAGAAGGTGGTGGCGGAAGCATGGACAACTTCAAGAGGGAATTAGATAAACATATGGAGCAGAGGTCCATCAGTGGCAATTAGCTCTCAGTCTAGGGCAAGGGATGCTCTATATTCTTGGTGCTGGGGGGGGAGGTCAACAGTGGGAGGGCTTCTAGTGTCCTGGCCCCACTGCTGGACCTCCTGATGGCACCTGGCATTTTTGTGTGACAGAGTGTTGGACTGGATGGGCCTTTGGCCTGATCCAACATTGGCTTCTCTTATGTTCTTATGAAAATAAATCACATGACTCCATGGGCCTCTAAGGTGAACAGGGTCTCAGAATTTTGTCCCTCTTGTCCCTCCCCTCTGGCAGCCCTGCTTACAAGAAAATTATATAAATGCTGGGGAGAAAAAGAAATTACTTCATTAAATGGCTTATTTTTTTTTTTGCTTACAGTTCCATTTGACTGCACTTAAATTACTGTATTACTAAAAATAAGATCATGGCTAAGATTTCTCAACTTCCTTATACCTTTACAACCAAAAAATAATTTAGTGTAACAAACAGCAGACAGCATAAAAGGCTCCAATAGCACACATAGTAGTTGTGTGTTTTCTGTCCTCACGCAATCCCAAAGCTACTTGTTTGAGAATGCCAGACATCATGGGGGAAAAAAACACATTTATTTTCTGGCACACTGAAGAAATGAAAAGATAACAGGTTTTCATATGAATGAAAAACTCAGAAGCTAAAAGGGGGAAAACCCCTCTCACATCTTTTTGTTCTAAATTCTGTGATGAAGTGCTGTTTTGTGATTTTTGAGAACCTGACTCAGGAAAGTTCACTTATAACTTTAATGTAAAAGATGGGGGCAGAACAGCAGAGGAAAGGGCTCTGACTAGACCCAAAGCAGGGCCTGAGGAGGGTGACTATTGTATATACAGCATAGATTAAGGCCAAACTATACAGTATGAGGGATTTCACATTACCTTTTTAAACTGCATGGTTTCCGTTATTGGTACATCATGGAGGAAACCGGTACAGGGATGGCTGTTTCATACAGCATTTCCCTTCCGGTAAGGAGCCATCTCTGAAGCGCTATGGCCATTTCAAACTGTGCTGCTTTCTTTTCCCACTATTTTCCCCCACACGGATAATCTCCCTCAGAGGTTTTTTTTTAAATGTTCTATTGGAAGCACTATGGTGCTGATTTGACGTCCTGTTTCAGCGTCATAATGCTCCCAATAGAACATTAAAAAGGGGGGGAATTGCACGCTGGGGGGGGGGAAGGACACGAAAAACCAGTCATTGGAGGAAGTGCTACGGGGCATTATACACAGCCCACTGTAGCAATTCAGATCTGGAAGAAGGGATTGAAGACCTGAGGAAAGCAGTTTTCATCAACAACGCCTCAGGCACGCTTCCCAAACGGGAGACAACCAGCTCTGTATGAACAGGTAAATATATTATGTTAACAACCAGTTACTAAAACAGGTCTGTCTGAAACGACAGGAAAAAACCATTAGTAGCCAGTTCCTGAAACGGAATAGATAGGCTGTCTGAAATCCTTCAGTGTTTTCTCATGAGCTGGTTCTGGGTTGCCCATTAACACTCAGCGGGAGCCATTTTGGCGCAGGGAAATGGTATGAGAAGATTGCAGGAGCCCCTCCTCCCTCACACCATGGTCCCAAATCCAATGAGGCCCTTGCAAACCTTTAAAAGGCCATTATCTGCAGCTGCTATGTGGCTGGGGGAAAAATAAGTCAGGTCTGAGTCCAGACCCGACTCATTACAAAACATAATGCTGTAGAAGGACTCTTAGAATTCTACAACGATGGGTGGTAGTGTGTTGGTTTCGGGATTGAACTGAAAAACCAATCAAGTTATCTCTTGGTGTGGCAATAGTTTTTAGAGGCACCAATAAAGTGGGATCCAACAGGTTATGTCCCAAAGTATCATATCATGTCACAGAGGACTGCTGGGGCACAGCTCTGCGGAACGTTTTGTTTAGGCATCCTTTGCAACATGACAAGAGATCCCAAGGTATACTTCATGGACCATACAGTTCTACTGCTTGGCATGTGAAAATGTCTTGGAACATTCTGAGTTGATACTGGATGGTTGGGGAATCATACTATAGCAGCTGTATTTCCAACACCATCTGTTAACAAGGGCATGTATCTCCATTAAGGGCACTACAATTCTGTCATGAATAAATCGCTGCAAATAGGCCTCTAACTATACTATTAGTTGTGTGATCTGCTACAGAATTGTTCAGTAAACAAAATTAATTGTTAATAAGTTTGAATGTAGGATCTTCATTGGATCAGTAGAACAAAATACAGGCAATAAAAACCCAATCTGGTCAAGAATAAATTAAAGTGGATCATAGCAGTTTAAGGTACGTTAGTGATTTAATATTTTTATTGTCGCTATACATTATCAGATACAAACATTTTCTAAAATACAAAATATGAATCTTCCTGTAGACCTATGGCTTTTAAGTATCTCTTCATATCATTAGTAAATGATACTGAGCCACATATCAACACAAAAGGTTGCCTTCTACATGTGTTCATCATACTTCTTAACAAATTCTCATTTATCCGGCCAAGATGTGTATTCTTTTGATAGCTCCAAGGCAGGTTTTCAAGTGAGTGTTCCTGAAGAACGTAAAGTATAAGACAGTCAAAATTAGAGCAATATATGGCTAGTGCTAAGTTTGCTGGAAGGCCTCAGTTAGGTCAAATTCTACAGCAGCAACCATGAAAATGTCTTATGTCACTTAAATATTAATTAATGTATTGTGGGATAATCCTTTGTGAGTCAGAGCCCAGTTCATCTGATGAATGATGGCTGAGAAATTTATACCCAGAGCTACCAAAAGCAGAAAGGTGGGTGGTAGTGGGGAATCATTACAAAGAGAAGGTGGACCATCCTGTTTTCCAAGACATTATATTGCAGATCATAAATGAAAACAAGATCCAGGGATGGTTATCTCACTACAGAAAGGAATTGTCCCACCTTACAAGTTTAAGGACACTATTTAGAATCATCGTACTTTCCTGATTCAGCAACATGCCCACTCTGAATTATTTCTTTATTCTTTAATTTTATTTATTAATTTATTCTTTTTACTGGATTGTTATGTACCGTGTTTCCCCGAAAATAAGACACTGTCTTATATTTATTTTTTCTCAAGAAGACACACTAGGGCTTATACCACAAATGCATAGAAATCCTGCTAGGGCTTATTTTTTGGATAGATAACATAACACAAACGTCTTGGGAAACTGTGGATAATGTAGGGAGGAAGGGTTTAAGTTTGTTAGGCACTGGGGTGTTTTTTGGAACAAGCAGGACCTGTACAAAAGAGATGGCCTCCACTTGTCCCAAGAAGGAACCAGGCTGCTGGTGCTTAAAATAAAAGAGGTGGCAGAGCAGTTTTTAAACTAAATCTTGGGGGAAAGCTGACAGGAGCTGAAATGTCTCTGGTTTGGGATGGCTCATCTCTAAGAGATGAAGGAGTAACGAACTTCCGGTTTATGGCGACATGCAGGCAGACGCATCTCCCGGACGCTCCGGGGATGCAAACTGCACACCAACGTGTAGGAGGGGGTGCGACGGGTCACGACCCCCCCGGAGCCTTGGTAAAGGCCGGCTGGCCAACAACAAACTGTGAGTCGGGTTGAAGCGAGTATGAAGATTTAAAAAGAAAGCTGCCCCCCTTAAAGAGCAACAGGAAGCGGGCAGGGGAGCGGCCCCTTCCAAACGCATAAAAGAAAACACGGAATAAAGAGGGGGGAGCGAAAAAATAAGCATTTGAAACTGTTTCCAGAGACTTACCAGAGCGCAGACAAGCATTTGGGCGACTATCAGAGACTTTAGCAACTTTTTGATAAGTAAACAAATCCAAAAAGATGGCGGGGAAGAAACCAGAGAAAGAAAAACTTTTGAAAGCGAAACTAGTGGTTAGTCCTCAAACGGAAGAGACCACTGAGCTTTCAAAAATGTTGGCAGATTCCTTGCATCCTCTGCTGGATG